TCCTTTGTAGCTACACTGTTCCTTATGTTAAATGGTCTGTACTAATGCCTCCTTTTTCAATGTCTTTATTGATAAAACCTACCAGGGCTGTCACTCTCTCTGAATAAGCCCACTTATTACTTCCCTTGGCACCCCTTCTCTGGAGCACCTAAGCTGTGCCCTAAAGACAGTAAGGGACCAATGTGGAGGCTCTGACCTGTGAACTCAATGTCGAGGGGCATCACTGGAATCTGAATATGCATAGGGTTCCAGAACATCTGTAAATCCCAGTATGTGCAGGAGCTGTGGAGATGTAGGCCTAGGTGCCCCAACATAAGAGTCCCCAACAAGGTACTGATGGTTCTCCCTCCTTTATTCCCTCTCTCTGCTGAACCAGAATGAAGGCCTCAAGTGTCATGTCTGAAGAGCATTGCAGTGTCACTGTCCCTACTGGCTTCACCAGGGAGCTAATAGGACCAAGAGGGAGAACTTTCTGTAGACTCCCAGAAATGATCAGATTGTCAGCTTAGATGATGTTCCTCCTCACCCAGCTTAGGGTGACCTAGAAAAATAGAGCTATCCTTGCCCCCATCTGTTCTCCTTAGTGTCTCCCTGTTTCTTTCAGTGGCTATGTCCCTCCTCTAAACCCACTATATTGTTTATGCCCCCATCTCTCTGATGCATAGAGGACCCATTGAATCATTGACTTTGGTGTCTAAAAAGGAACCATGGCTAGAACAAACCAGTGTCCTATGAAAACGATATTAGTTCCTTATTGAGACAGTGTTACTAACAACCCAGCAATCATGCACTGGGCTCCAACTCTTAAACGTGCCTGTACTCCAAGGTGTTCACAATGGAGACCAATCAGTCAGTCATTCTGTCATCTTTAGGGCACAAGCTACATCTTAACATTGTATCATGTGACCTAATTGAATACATGCCAAGGTTCAGAATGTGGTTGTCATTGAAGGCTGGCTGTGCTGCCTGCCACAGTAACCAATCCATTGTATTGAATTCTTCATAACCTAAAATATTTAGGTTCCTGTTTTCCTTGTGATGTACTAAAAACCTGAATGGGATACTCCGAATGGGGAACATTGGATCATTGAGCACCTTTTAGGATAGAAGCTTCCTCACGTGTCACCATGATCAACCAGGAGTCACACAGCACTGAAGACTCATGAGGGTATTTAGGATCAGAACCTAGCCATCTGTAGGTTCCTATGTGTACTGTAGTTAAAGATCCCATGACAAAACTCTGATGTAAGTCGATGTGTTACATCTGGAGGATGTATCTTTAAACAGACTGAACATCCAAACTCAGGCTGGGACTAACACTGAAGAGTCACATGTTCTCCAACAAGAACCTAGTAACTCTGCCAGGCAGACGGGGGGAGAGGGGACTGTTTTGGGAAGAAGGCACATTCTTGGGGAGAAAAAGGTATAGCTGCCTCCTCCCTCCTTGAATGTAGAATATCTTATTTTTCTGATTTGTGAGGATCCTCACTAGCTGTCATAATTAGTTTTTGTTGACAGGAACCTAGACATGCGTGGGAAGAGAAAATACCAGCTGAGGAAATGTCTTCGTCACATCGGCCTGTGAGAATGTCTAAGGGCGTTTTTTTTTAATTGCTGATTGATGTTGGACGATCCAGCCCACTGTGGCCTGGGTGCACCATCAGAGAGACTTCCTCTGGCCGATGATGACAGAAGTAGATGTATACACCCACACCCAAACATTAGGTGGAGCTCAGGGACTCCTCAAAAGATGGGGAGGGAGTACTGTAGGAGCCAGAAAAGTTGAGGACACCAAGAGAATTCAGCTCCCAGAATCAACAAAGCAGGACACATAGGTGCTTATAGAGACTGAAGTGACCATCAGAGAGCCTGCATGGGCTTAGGTTAGGTCCTCTGCATACACTGTGGTCATTTATCTTGGGGTTTCCTTGGGCCTTCAAAAGTTGGAGTGGATGTGTCTCTGACTCTTTTCCCTGCTCTTGGAACCCGTTTTCTTCTACTGGGTTGTTCATTAAACCTTGGTATGGGGTTTTGTGCCTAGTCTTATTGCATCTTGTTATGACATATTTGGTTGAACTCACTTGTAGGCCCGTTCTTTTCTAAAGTTTAACAGAGGAACAGTGGATCTGGGAGAGACAGGAAGTGGAGAAATCTAGGAGGAATGGAGGGAAGAGTGGCTATAGTCAGGATGTATCATCTGAGAGAAGAATAAATAAAAACTTACAAAATAAAGAGAGAAAGGAAGGAAGGAAAGGGAAAGGAAAGAAATTAAAGAAAAAGGAAATGAGGAGAAGAAAAGAAAAATGAAAAGAAAAGAAAAGAAAAGAAAAATGAAATGTGAGCAAGCTAGGGAAGCAAGCCAGTAAGCAGCATTCTTCAAGGTCTTTGCTTTAGTTTCTGGCTCAAGGTTTTATCTTTGCACTCTTGCCATGTTTTCCTTCAATGGTTGACCATAATCTGTAAATCAAAGAAACCCTCTCCTCCCCCAAATGCATTTTGGCTAAGGTTTTGTCACAGCAACAGAAGCAAGCTACAACACTACGTATGAGTGCTCAGGGTTAAGCAATGGCATTTTCTATCCCTGAAGAATGGTATGTCTTCCCACAACAAAATTGTTGGCTGACAATGTTGAGCAAGTGCTGTATAGAGGAGTAAACTTGTTGTGATAAAAGAGGAAAAAGGTGGTGTGTGTGTGTGTGTGTGTGTGTGTGTGTGTGTGTGTGTGTGTGTAGGGAAATTTTATGTGAAAGAAATAACACCAGTTACCATTAAACACTGGCATCCCAAACCAGTAACTTCTGAAATTCCTGGAACATAGCATGAGAGAGATTCCAGGAGGCAAGAGATTGAAATAGCAGCTGCCCTTTGCATTTTCTGCCATCATGGGTGCTGGAGAGCTTGGAAGAGCTGTCTGGTACTGAGAGGTTGCTGTCCCCCAGCACTGTTTCCTTCTTACTATCTACACAATACCATTTGCTTTGGGTGTATGGCTCTCCTCCAGTCGTTAGTGTCACTTGGATCAAAGGCAGAATGACTAAACTAATGGAAAGTATTCAGGGTCCCCTCTTTCCAATTTCATATTAACATTTAATACCCACAAGGCTTCTAGCTCTCAACCGACTTTCCCCTGCCCTGTGCTGTCTACCATACTGTCGCAGCAAAATGTTGATTGGATTTTGATCTAAGCTTTGGTGACAAACTCACCCATTTGTGTCCAGATCCTTTAGACCCCTTACAATAAAAACATATGGTATATTATCTACCTTCATAAGCAACCCTGCCTTTGCTTTTCTCCACTGCCTGGCCTGTGAACCTTGGCAGCCATAACATGGCAGGTAAGGATAAACTCAGGCACCAATGTACATCCACCATGTGGAAGAAAGGTTATCCACTGCAGGTGAAGACAGCATCTCAGACAAATAATTCCGCTTCTGTACCCCTCATTTCCAGTATAACTTGCCAGAAGACACCAGGATGACAAGTGTGGGCAACATGGTACTGTTTGAACTGACAGGAGTCAATGCCCCAGCAAAAGTACACAGCATATCCTGAGGTGCCCAACTCTTCTGGTTTACCAGTTGACCGCAGCATTTAAAATTTGATGCCTGTGGGATCCTTTTGCCTTTTATGTGGCTGAGAAAGCAAAGGGTCTTTCAGAAAGATTTTATACACAGCCCTCTCTTTGCAGAATTCACCATGGTTATGACTAGAACACATCTTTGACTGAAACTCGTGTTCAATACATTTTGTTGCTTTTATCTGAGGCTCAATTATTCTTCATTTATAGTGTGTACCGCCTCGAATAGATATGGCTAACATTGTACGAATAATCAAATAGTGAAAGCCAGAATCATCTTATATGATAGATGTGATATCTAATTTTGTGAGGATGGTGTAATTTGGAATCAGTCCAGGAGAAAAGAAAAATTACATTTTATTCTAAAATCAGAACTATGTTTTATAAAGTGAGGAATGTTAACTCATGAATGCAAAACAAGCTTTTAATTTTTGCAATTATTTGAAATTTCAAACTTGCATATTCAAACAATGAGTTTCTTTTCTATGCAAATGTAGTTTAAAACAATGAGTTTCAAAATGTTTAATAATGGAGAATATAGGATTTTAATTTTTTGGATTTTAATAATTGTTTAATTGCTTCAATTCTGTAGTTCTTTCGATGGTAGCAAGTGTAGTTGTTAGAGACTGCAAAATTAAATATTTGGCTTATTTTAAGCACCTGAAGCAAAGTGCATACAAAAGAGAGCTTATGGAACGGTGTCAAAATATATGAGAAGCCTGGCATGGTGGTGCATTGCCTTTAATCCCTGCACTTGGGAGGCAGAGACAGGCAGATCTCTGTGAGTTAGAGGCCAGCCTGGTCTACAAAGTGAGTTTCGGGATAGCCAGAACCAGACAGGGAAACCCTGTCTCAAAAAATACGTATGAGAAGTCAGGTGTGGTGGTACGTGCCTTTAATCAAGTATGCAGGAGATAGAGGCTGGTCTCTCCAAGATCTGGGGTGGCAGGGTTATATAAAGAGACCCTATCTCCAAAAGCATATGAGAAGAAATGTCAGTGGTTAAAGTTAATAAGTGAGAACAAAAAAAGGTGAAAGGGGGGATAATAATGCAACAAGAAGGGAGGAGGAAGAGGAGAAGGGCAGAAGAAATATAGGAAGAAAGAGAAGGAGAATGATGGAGAGAAGAGATATCAAAGGGGACGAGGAAGAGGAGAAATACGTTGTCAACAGCAGGAAGATTGCAGTCAGATCATTGAAAAATGATGAGGGGAAATAAATGGCATTCGGGAACAACTGGAAATATCCCGCGTGGCGTCTGTGCATGGAGCGGAGCTATTCGCCAGGGTCCTCTCCTGATGCTTCTCCAAGTCGTTCCTGCGTCTCCAGAGAGTGCTCTTGCACACTGAAGGGCCTTCTTCCTTCACAGCGTCTGGTCCATTCACCAAGACGAGTCCCTGGGTGCATTCCCCATCTGTATCACGTGATGGGCTGTGACCCAGGGTCTGTTCTGTCCCATGGTCTGTCGTTGGCACCAGCTGCATTCTGTAAATTTTCCTTATCCGTCTTTAACCCTTCATGGCTCCACCAGACCTTAGCCAGCATCATCAACAGAGCAAGTAGGACCAGCCCCGCCACACTTATCCTGATGGAAGTCCCTAGGATGTAATCCTGAAACACAGGACCTTTGGAAGAAACAGAAAATTTCACAAGTGGGTCAACTGCTCAGCAGCCATACAGGGGCTGCAAAATGAAAGTTCTTTCCCGTCAGCCTTAGCAGAAAGCTTTCTGTCTATATGCTTTCCGCTGTCCCTGCATCATCGTGAGCTCCTTACAGAGTCTGCCATTTTTTGTCACCCCTGAAATCTTCCGCTGAACCTCCCTGCTACGGTAACGAGTGCCCTTTAGCGGACCTCTACCAGGAGAGTGTTAGGAATTCACATCCTCCATGAACACCAGCCTCACTGGATACTGAAAAGCGCTGGATTGTGCCGTATAGAAGAATGGAAAGACTGCAATAAAGGCTGATTCCAAATTTATCTGCTCTGAGATGAGTTTTTCAGTGCAACTTCACCCTGCTTTCTTCTCGCTGTATTCGGCTACCATAATCCACCCTTCTCTTACCTTTTCTGAGGACAAGGGGAAGATTTTAATGCACATCTTTATTTTTTTAATTACTTTAATTTTAAATAGCTTGCTTCACATGTCAATCCCAGTTCCCTCTCCCTCCCCTCCTCCCACGTCCTCCCACCATCCCCCCCCCAGCCTCCCACCCTATCCCTACTTCCTTCCACATAGGGGATATCCAGAGTCTGTTGTTTCACTCAGGGTAGGGTCCAGGCACTCCCCTAAGAGTCCAGGCTGAGAGAGCTTCCCTTTGTGTTATGGACACACGAAGTCCATTTGTATGCTAGGGATAAACACTGATCCACTGCCCAGGGACCCATAGGTTGCCCGGGGCCTCCTCACTGACACTCACATTCAGGGGATCAGGAATAGTCCCATGCTGGCCTCCCAGCTGTCGGTCTGGGGTCCAAGAGCTCCCCCTTGTTCAGATCAGCTGTCTCTGCTGGTTTCACCAGCCCATTCTTTGCCCATTTGCTCATTGCCCCTCTCTCTGTGTCACTGGGTTCCATGGGTTCAGTGCAGTGTTAAACTGAATGCACATCTTTAAATAATTTTCCTTCTGAATATCCAGGATCCCTCTCTTTCTCTCTGCCCCTTCACAAAATGAGACCAAAGCCTCTTGGAACTCCGGTGTTAAGAAGTGAATGAGAGTCAGGTTGGGGTAAACTGTGGATGATGCTGAAGAGAAAAATCACAGAGTGCAGACCGGATGAGGAGACAACAGAGTCGCCAACCCAAGTACTAGACAACCATGAGGAATTCTGAAGTACTGTTTGTTCTCTGATTCACTTAAAGACTTCATGTGCCCCCCCTTCCCCAGCTCCCCTAGACACTTATCATTCCTGGTGCTTACCTAGCTTAAAATCAAAAGGATGTGAAGAGCTAGGGTCATCAGGAGCTGAGAGGCAGAGAGGGACGAAGGGTGAGCAGTGGAATGTCCTACAGCAGTTTGCAGCCCGTTTCTTTCTTCTGGGCTTTCTGTGTATTTAATGTATTCATAAAGTCACATTTTTGAAAGGACACCCACTGACACCTCCTGATACTGTGTGAGCTTGTGGTCTTTCACACTTGTTTCTACGGTTTTTCTTCTCCTGAATGATAATTATTCATTGTGAGAATTATGGTATCGTGATAGGTTGGGCAATAAGAGCATACACCAGATAAGACCAAAAAACAATACATTTCCCAAAAACAGAGAATTCACTGGCATTGCTCTTGTGTCTAATACTTTATCTCACCTTCTTTGTAGATTGGTAGATAAACAGCATACTGTGTGTTTTCTGTAGCACCTTGTACATCAATCAATTTCTTTATAAAATGTAAGATTCCATTTTTGGAACTAGTTAAGATGCTTTCTACCTATTTACTGTCACCACCATTATTAAGCATTATGATGCACACCTTTAATCCCAGCACTCATAAGGCAGAGGCAGGCAGATCTCTGTAAGTTCGAGGCCAATCTGGTCTTCAAAGAGAGTTCCAGATAATCTCCAAACCTTCAGAGAAACCCTGTCTTGAAACACCAAATACAGTATGGAGATTCCTCAGGAAAACGGGAATCAGTCTACCACAAGACCCATCAATCCCACTCTTAGGCATATACCCAAAAGATGTACATTCATACAACAAGGACATCTGTTTCACTATGTTTATAGCAGCACTATTTGTAATAGCCAGAACCTGGAAGCAACCTAGATGCCCCTCAACTGAAGAGTGAATAGAAAAAATGTGGTACATCTACACAATGTAACAGAAAAAACAAATGGAATCCTGAAATTCGCAGACAAATGGATGGCACTAGAAGAAACCATCCTGAGTGAGGTAACCTGGTCACAAACAGAGAAACATGGTATGTACTCTCTCATATATGGATTTTAGACATGAATCATTGGAGTGCTAGCATACAATCCCATTGCCAGAGAGGCAGGGAAACAGGAAGTACCCTAAGAGACATACAGGTACCCCAGAGAAGGTGGAATGAGGCAAGATCTCCTGAGCAGATTGGGAGCACAGGGTGTGGGAGGGAAAGGAAACCAGGAAAAAGAAAGGGAGACAAGAGAAAGAGAGAGGAGGACATAGGGAGCAAGAAAGTTGAGTTGGGGGAAGAATAGAGGAGAGGGAACCATTCTAGGTTTGAGGGGAGATCTGGCACTAATAAGAACTTCAGAGATGTACGAGGATGACACCAACTGGCAATCTAACCAATACTGGAGAGGTTTAAATACCCCTCCCTAATAAAGATTTTGACTACTATCTTACATACCATTCTAGAACCTCCATCCAGTAACAGACGGAAGCAGAGGCAGACACCCACAGCTAAACACTGAACTGAACTCCTGGAACCCAGTGACCGAGTGGGAGGAGTGATGAGCAAAGGGGTCAAGACTGGGTTGGTGAAACCCAGAGAAACAGCTGACCTGAACAAGGGGGAGATCTTGGACCCCAACCTGATGGCTGAGAGGCCAGCATGGGACTGATCCAGACCCCCTGAATGTGAGTGTCAGTGAGGAGATTCGGGAAATCTATGGGGGTTTTGGGTAATAGATCAATATTTATCCCTGGCACACAAATGGACTTTGGGGACCCATCCCACAATGAGGGATGCTTTCCCAATTTGGACACTTTGGGGAGGGCCTGGGCCCTCCCTGGAGCAAAATGACAGAATCTAGAGATCCCCCATGGAGGGCCTTACCCTCCCTGGGAAATGAAATGGGGATTGGGGATTGGAGGGGATGCTGATAGGGGTGGGGGGAGGGAGCTGGGACTGACATGGAGAGCAAGCTTGTTTCTAATTTAAATATATAATAAAAAGAAACACCAAATAGATAGATAGATGATAGATAGATAAATAGATAGATAGAATAAATTTCATTACTGTATTTTAAAACTACTAATTTTGTAAAACTGTGTATCACACCTACACTACTGCCCAAACATGTCAGGCAAATGCTTCACAAATGAGCTATACTAAAAGCTCACTAGCTGTTACTATTTGTGCAATATTTCATGGTATGTGTGTTGTCTCTTTTCATGAGCTGTGCTGATCCCTGTATTGCTCCAATGTTGTACTTGGTGTGGCCAGAATGCTATCTATTGTGTATTTATTTTTCAGCTATCATCAGTCCCAATACCTTTCTCTGCTTTCCATTTACTAACTAACCTTCTCTCAGAAACAGGCACCATCGTATCTTTGTTTTTGTTTCTTCGTTTCTGAGATCCTTCTTTTTACCTTTTTCTCTCACTGTCAGCCATTCCCTCTGATCATGTTTCACATTCTTACTTTTCATTCTATGTTCACATTCTCATATTCTCTGTGTCTGTCTGTCTGTCTGTCTCTCTCTCTCTTTCTCATGCATCTGACTTATCTGACTTGGCTTATCTCTGGTAGCATGTCTCCATGTTTTTCTCCTTCTTTGCCTTATTGTGGTGTGTGTGTGTGTGTGTGTGTGTGTGTGTGTGTGTGTGTGTGTGTGTGTGTATTTTGGAGATGTAGAGAACTCAGCTACACAGGGACTGGGGTTGTTTTCTTTCCCAGGAACATGGCATACTCGCATTAATTAAGGCTCAACAACATGAAAAGTAGTGTCAAACTAAACACAGCATTTATTACTACCAACTGCACCAAGGTCTTAGGATACATGTTGAGCCAACTGCCCTGAAATGCAATTCATATATGGGGAGACTCTGGCATTTTCTGGAAGAGACTAGAAAAAACTAACTTTGAACTGTATAGGCCTATTAATAAGATAAGGATGTAACAACCGTCTCTCTGATCCATGGGTGTTTATAATTGTGGCTTCCTTTGCCTTAAGCTCCTTCAATTGCTGTGATGAAACACCATGACCAAAAAAGTAAGTTGAGGAGAAAAGGGTTTATTTGGTTTACACTTCTGTATTGCTGCTTATCACCAAAGGAAGTCATGACAAAAACTCAAACAGGGCAGGATCCTGGAGGCAGGTGCTGATGCAGAGACCCTGAATGGGTGCATCTTAGTGGCTTGATTTCTCTGGCTTGCTCATCCCACTTTCTTATGGAACCCAGCACCACCAACCCAGAGATGGAACCATCAACAATGAGCTGAGAATTTCCCCATCAATCACTAATTAAGAAATGTCAGGCTGGGCATCGATGGCACACACCTTTAATCCCAGCACTCGGGAGGCAGAGGCAGGCGGATCTCTGCGAGTTTGAGACCGGCCTTGTCTACAGAGTGAGTTCCAGGACAGGATCGAAAAGCCACAGGGAAACCCTGTCTCAGAAAAAAAAGAAAGAAATGCCTTATAACTAGATCTTATGGAGCTGTCTTCTCCATTGAGATCCCTTCCTATCAGATAATTCCAGTTTGTGTGTCAAATGACATAAGACTGGCCAGCACAAGCTTCTTTCATGATTCCTCTGAATTGCCTGTATCTGTGCTATATATAATGACCAACATTGTGTCCTTATGTCTCCCTTTACACTTCAGTCACTAAATCTACCACAAAGACTTCTTATCTCCATAGCACCCAAAAGGCATCAACTTTCCGACCGTTCAAGCCCTTCAAAACTTACAATGGTCTGCTTACTGGAGAAGGGGATAAACACAAATAGACATTCTCACCTGTGATCTTAATGTCCAGGGAGTCACTGGGGTCTGACCATTCATAGGGTTGGTGACTGACAGAACCATAGCATCTGTAGGTCCCAGCGTGTGCAGTAGTTACAGGAGCTATGGAGATGTTGGCCTGGAAGCCTCCATCATAAGGCTCCCCAATAAGGTACAGAGGGTCCATGCTTAGCCCCTTTCTGTGCAGAACAAGACTGAAGGTCTCAAACACAATCTCCGAGTAGCATTTCAATGTCACTGCCCCTCCAGATTTCACCAGCGGAGATGGTAGGGCCAAGAGTGATGGCTTCCTGTAGATTCCTAAGATCAGAAAGGTTGTGAATGTGGGAGCCATCCCACCTCAGCAAACTCTTAGGCCTTAAATAAGTGAGGTCTTTCTCCTTACGTCTTTCCTCCTTCTTAGTGTCTCTTATCATTTTCTGTGTCCACATTCTCCTCCATGTACATTCCTGCTCTCTGTGTATCTTTTTAGTTCCTTGTTTCTAGTAATATCTGACTATTTTCACCTGGCATGTCCTAGCAATGTATCTATGGCATTCATCTCCCATAGCCCTCTTTCCCACTTTGTATCTTGAATGAAGACAGGCAGCCTGGAAGACTGTACTTTGAGCTTGTTTCGTGTTCTTTTTGAAAAGGGGTAATCCATATCAGGGTGTGAGGATTAGCAAAACAAATGACAGGAGGTTCCCTAATGGTCTATCTTCTAAAAAGGGTTCCCTGCCCTATCTGGACCCTCTCTGAGCTCCAGTATCACCAAAAGGCCCTAGATTGGGCATGAGAGCATTGAAATGTCTCAATCTGGTGGTAGTCTCAGCATCCTGATCTTCCTGATATCAGAACATCCCTACCCTTTCCTCTTTGGCTTTGTTAATGTGTCCTTGACTTGTGTATCTGTATTAGATTCCAGTTGTTGCTATAACAAATTATCACAAGTGTGCAACCTAAATTGACTAACAGGGGCACTACCTTTTGGTTCTGGATGTCAGAAACAGACATTACTGGCATAAGTTAGGCATCTTTAGGGTTGTCTTCCTTCATGAGAGTCTAGAAGATAATTCATTTCTTTTCCCCTCCAGGCTTCTAGAGACATTTAATTCCTTTTCCCATAGACCCTTTCTCCATCTTCATGGATAGTTGTACATAATCTCTCCCACAGTTCATCCTACTGGCCTTTAAGCACTACTCCCCAACTCCTTTTCCTCTGATGTAGGGTGTTGGAATACAGGGTATTGTCTTGCTCCAAGGGGCTAAGTGCTAAGACACAGACTTCCACATTTTACCCTACACTCCTTTCTATATGTATCAGCCCAATTATCTTAATATAAAACATATCTGATGTTGGATACCTCACTCATGGAAAATGTTTAAATAGTTTTAGAGGCTGAGGGTGAAAGATAAGGCAACCCATCTGTTTATCATGTAATGAAGTATGATTTGCCACAGACAGTAGAAGAGCAGAAAGGGAAGCAGCAAATTACAAAGGGGAGAAAGCACTTTATGCAGTCTTGACCAGGGTTTGTACTATAGAGATGAGTGAGAATCATTGGCCTCTTTTCCATAAGATCAGTTCAATTCCCAAAACCCACACAACAACTCAAAAGTGCCTGCAACTCCAGTTCTAAGAGAACCAATGCCTTTTTCTGGTCTCTGAGGGTACCAGAAACAAATATCTGTGCATATACATAAAATAAAAAGGGAACTAATAAGGCCATTTGAGAGCCTTATTAATAACTTCTGAGGGCATCTGATACTAGGACTGCCTCTTATACATGCCTGTACACCAACACCTTCTCACTAGAGCTTACACTTTGAGCACATAGAACTTCATAACACAAGCTGTATCCAAAGTTTTCAGCTATAGGACGTAAATATTCAGTTTCCCGGTACTAGAAGGAGGGTGACAACTGATGACAATTGTTCTGTATCCCTCAGTACATAGTCCCCTATATTTAATTATCCATAACTTGGATCACTTGGAGATGTCCCTACTCTTCTAATGAAATTCTCACTGAAAGTTCCTGTGGAAATATTTGGATTAGAAATATTGGGCATGGAACCACCCCTCTTACCTGTGACTACAACCACCAAGCTGTCACTTAGTTCTGATGATCCATAAGGAGATTTAGAGTAAAACCCCTGGCATCTGTAGATCCCTGCATGTGCTGTGGTCACGGGTCCTATCACAAAGCTCTGCTGGGAGTCGAAGTCCTTCACCTGGAGGTTGCGACCCCTGTGTTCCTTGAACAGGCTGAACGTTTCAAACCCAAGCTCAGACTGGCAGTGCAGAGTCACACGCTCTCCAATGTGAACGATGGGGCTTGGCCAGGCAGACAGGAGGGGCTTTTTAGAATCCACTGTGGGGAAAAAGGAGACCCCGATATAAAGAAGAAAACAGAGAAGCCCCTCTCCACATGTGTTCAGCATCCCGCCTCCTTCCCATGTTCCCAAGACTATTCCTGGCCAGTAGTGCCTAACATCATGCATTGGGACCACCCCACACACAAGCATGCCTTCCTATAGCAAAAGTGTGGTCTGAGAATTTTGAACAAATACTTCATAAAGGAATCAATACTATTGACAAAAATTATCATCTATATATAAAGATAAGATGCAGAACAAGGCCCCAGTTGAGAACCCAATGCTATCATTCTGCTAAATGGGCATAGTATTAAAATGACTGCTACTGACTTACTGGTATACTCAGTAGATCACAGCATCCCTCAGATCTCTTCAGAGAAGCCTTTCCTTGTTGTAGATGGCAATCAACACAAGGACCACCCCCCTCCCAGAAAACTGATCAACAAGTCAAGAACCAATAAAACATCTTGCTTTCTTTCACTCCCCTCTATTTCCCTGCACAACTTAGTTTAGTGAGTGGCAAAATTGTTGCGTGTGTGGGAGCTATCACAGGCAGGATCTCCAGGGACCTCACTTCACAGTTCAACAGAGATTCACTCACAGGGCTTCCCACACTCAACCCATGAGCTGTGTGCCTCCTGCCCTCCTGTTGTGGAAACATTCTATTTGGTTTGGCAAACAGACTCACCAACTTGCGCCCAGATCCCTTGAGCCCAGATGAACCCTGCAAAGAAAGACTCATGATAGTTGATCCATGTCCTCACAATACCTGATTTCCATTCTTCTTGCCTCTGCCAGGTCTGTAAGCCTCTGAAGCCGTACACTGTTGTATAAAGATCAACCAACCCTCCAATGCCCATCCACCTGAGTATTCTTCTCTATACACACCTAGTGTCCTAGACTAGTACTTCCACCCTGGTGTTCCATAGCCTTCGTGGCCATAAGGACTCACCAGAACACACCACACTGAGGAGTGCGAGCATCATAGTGCTGCTTGAGCTGGCAGGAGGCACTGCAGCAGCAAAAGCACACAGGATGTCGTGAGATGAACAGCTTATCTGGTTTATCAGCTGACCACAGCATTAAGGTTCTGATGCCAATGGGCTTCTATTGCCTTGCAGGCTATTGAGACAGGAAGATGGTTTGTATTACAGCTCTTTTGTTGCAGAATTTGCCATGGCAGTAACTGAAACACATTTTAGACCTAATGCCTTTTCTGAATTATTCGATAGAGCAACTGCATTAAAATTTATGTATTTTGTTGTTTTCTTCTAACATATAATTGTCATAAACAGTCTTATAAATATAAGATATGTTTATTATTAGTAGTATTAGTATTATTACAACAGTATCAATGATTCTCCATGCTGACATCTCTAGTATTTGGTTCAAATTATAAGCATCTAATTCCCAAGATGATAAGTATTTATGGTCATAAAACTCACCTTTAAAGGAAATAACCAAAAATACTACCTTGACATTTATAGCATGACTTGGAATTTGTTTCATGATTGACTAAAAAAAAATCTTAACTCTGCCTCGAGTGGCAATGCATGCCTTTAATCTCAGAACTCTGGAGGCAGAGAGAGGTGTTTGAAGCCAGCTTGCTCTACAGAGCGAGTTTCAGGAAGAGCCAGGACTGCACAGTGAGACCTTGGCTCAAAAACAAAAACACGGGCTCATTATTGAGGGGGGCTGGTTCTGCTTTATTTGAGAATTGGATACATTCATGTAATGCATTTCCACTATCTATTCCTTCCCTCCAATTCTTCCTCTGTCCCCACCCCCACTGGGATGGGCTACATACATCATAGAGAAAAATAACAGCGTAAATTATTATTCTTCCTCTTCTCTTCCCGTATCAGTCACTATTCTCCTCCTTCTGTCTATTTCTCTGTTTAAATTAAACAGAAATATTCAAATATCCATTGATATGATGCTATGGGAAACAAACATTTCACAGTTGCTTGACTCTTCCCACTTTTGTGGCTCCTGCTATTGACTTTTCCTTTCCCTGTCTCTCTCCATTACCTTATGATTAATCACCTGGTTCTTTTTTCTTCTAGAGGTTCCAGAGGTCACTCTTTTTTTTTAAGTTACCTATCTGCATGTCCATTCATTTGTGTGTATAAGCGTGCTGCCTGCATATCTGCGTGTGCGCCACGCTCGCCCAGTGCAAAGGGAGGCCAGAAAAGGGTGTTGGATTTTCTAGCACTGGAGTTACAGACAGTTGTGATCTATAAAGTGGGTGCTGGGAATGGAGCGCGGGTCCTCTCCAAGAACAGCAAATGCTCTTAACTGCGGAGACGTAGTCCCCTCGTCTCTGCTTTGCCTTTTCCCCATTTCATTCATACCCACCGGAGCTGCTGCAGTGGTTTAAATGAGAATGGCCCCATAGGCTGTGTCTGCATACCTGGCCCCCAGTTGGTGGAACGATTGTAAGGTGCGGTCTTGTTGGAGGAGGTGTGTCGCTGGGGTGGGCTCTGAGTTTTTGGAAGACTCTTGCTGTTGGCCTCACGTTTGTGGGTCACAATATGAACTCTCTGTTGTCCTTTGGCCATCCTAGACTGTAACCCTGAGGGATCCATAAGCCAAATTAAATGTTTACTTTTAGAAGTTCTCTTGTCATTGTTTTAACCTAACCCATTATGAGCCACACGGAAGAAGAGAGGCAACACTTACGGGTTCTAAAAGTCTGAATAATTCACCTCACAAACTGGTCACTGATTGATCAGAGCTGAAGGACAAGGACTCGGGAGCCTTGGTTGTCTTGACAGCCCAGAACAGGGGCAGTAGTGAGGTTTATAAGCACAAAAAAATCACAAACATTTGTTGCCAAGTTACAGTTACAATTTCACCAATCAATATTTAGAGATTAGGGGCTCCCTTGAATGTTCCATCATTGTTTACTGAAACATAATGCAAGCATTTCGGGCCAACCAATCAAATTCATTTGGTCCTTCTGTGGTTAGGAACAGTCATAATGTTTCTAAAAACCTGAAGATGCATAACACCCATTTCTGCAGTTTAGGGATGAGGTCATTCAGCCATTGGAAAGTTCTCCCCTAAGGCTTGGGAACCTGAACTTTATTTCACCCTGCAGGTAAAATGGAGTCTGAAGTCAAAATGGCTTCACATTATGTTTATCACATAATAGAAAAGTAGCTAAGATGGAAAGAAATATCTTATGAATATTATCAGAGTTTCTTTATTTTTTAAAATTGTTGACACTGAAGGAGCACTTGTTTGTAAGTTGATTATTACTGTATTTTCATAATGAGCCTCCTCTTCTTTTTTTTCCATTTTAAGAAATAGATTCTTCCTTCAGAAGAAGGGGAAAGAAGGATTGTGGGAGCCAGAGGAGTCAAGGATACCACAAGAAAACCCACAGAATCAAGTAACCTGGTCCATAGGGTTCACAGCGACTGAACCAACAATCGAGGAACCTGTACGGGACTGACCTAGGTCCTCTGCATATATGCTATGGTTGTGTAACTTGGTCTTCTTGTGGGACTCCTAGCAATAGGAGTGGAGGGGGGAGGGATTTCCCTGACTCTTTGACCTATTTGGGGGACCCTTCCCCTCCTACTCTGCTGTCTCACCCAGCCTTGATATGAGAGGAGGTACCCAGTCTTACCGCAACTTGATAGGCCGTGTTTGCTTGATATCCCTGGAAGTCTTTCCCTTTTCTGAAGGGAAACAGAGGAGGAGTGGATGGGGGAAGAGGGAGGTGGGGAGGGACTGAGAGGGGGAGGAGGGAGGGGAAACTTGTGAAGACGTAATAAGAAGAATGAATAAATAAATAAGTAGATTATTTTTGCACATATTATATACTATTTCAGTTTCCCCTGTCTATATTCCTCCAGGTTATCCCCTAGACTTCCCTCCCTTCTGGATTCACCCCAACTATGTATCTTATTAGAAAACAAACAGGCTCCCTGGCTGTTGGTTCAGATTCTGTGAGTTCCTGTGAATATGGCTAATTGTTCCTCTGAGTTTTCATGTAATGTACTGAACTCCTTTGGCTCCTACAATCTTTCCTCCCTCTTTTTCAGCTGGATTCCCAGAGCTCAGTCTAATGTTTGGCTGCAGGTCTCTGCATCTGTTTCCATCAGTTTCTAAATTAGACTTTCTGATAACAATTGGGGTAGTCATGAATCTGACCACAGAGTATGGTCAATTTGGGCAACATATCCACTATTGCTAGTGATCTTAGTTGGAGTCATCCCTGTAGATGCCGGGGAGTTTGCCTCACATCAGGTTTTTACTAACCACCAAAAGCCCCCCCATTTCCAGTCATCTCTTTCAGTACTCTGCCCTTCTATACCCCCTCAACCCGATACTAAAGTTGCCATCCCTCCTGCCCCCAATCCACCCAAGAGATATCTCCTATTCCCTCTTCTCAGGGAGATCTATGCATCCCCCTTGGGTCCTCATTATTACCTAGCCTCCCTGGGTCTATGGATTGTAGCACTGCTACCTTTTACTGCTAATATTCACTTATGGGTGAGTGCATATAATGTTTGTCTTTCTGCATCAAGGTTCCACTCAGGACGTTTTTTTTTCTGGTTCCATCCAGTTGCCTTCAAATTTCCTAGTGTCAACCTAGAATCCACAACCTCAGAGAAGTTAGGGAATGAGGAGGACTCTAAGAGAGACATACGTGAACCCAATGAGAAAGAAGAGGCAAGATCTCCTGAGTAAATTTTGGAGCATGGTGGAGGGGAGGAAGGTAGGACAAAGAGGAGGGGAGAAAAGGAGGGGGGAGGGGAACATGAGGGATCAGGAAGGTTGAGTTGGGGGAAGAACAGAGAAGGAGAGCAAGGAAAGAGATACCTTGATAGAGGGAGCCATTATGGGCTTAATAAGAAACCTGGCACTTGGGAAATCTCCAGGAATCCACAAGGATGACCCCAGCTAAGAATCTAAGCAATAGCGGAGATGCTACCTTAAATGTTTTTCCCCTGTAATGAGATTGATGGCTACCTTAAATGCCATCCTAGAGCCTTCATCCAGCAGCTGATGGAAGCAGAAGCAGAGATTCACAGCTACGCACTGGGCCAAAATCCTGGAATCCAATTGTAAAGAGGGAGGAGGGATGGGCAAAGGGGTCAAAACCCTGCTGGGGAACCCACAGAAACAGCTGACCTGAACAAGTGGGAACACATTGACCCTATCTAGACTGACAGCTGTGGAGCCTGCATAAGACTGAACTAGGCTTCCTGAAAGTGGGTGTCATTTGGGGGGCTTGGGCAGTCTATGGTGTCTCTGTCAGTGGAGCCAGTATTTATCCCTACTGCACAAATGGGTTTTTTGGAACACATTTCCTAAGGAATGATACTTTCCCAGTCAAGATACATGGGGGAGAGCCTCAGTCCTGCCCCCAAATGATGTGACAGACTTTGATGATCCCCCATGGGAGGCCTCTCCCTCTCTGAGGAGTGGATGGGGGATGGGATGGGGAGATGATGGAAGGAGTGGGAGGATGGGAGGGAGAGGGATCTGGGATTAGTATGTAAAATAAGATTTTTTAACTTAAATTTCAGAATTAATTTAAAACAATAAAAAATAGGCCGGGTGTTGGTGGTGTATGCCTTTAATCCCAGCAATCGAGAGGCCGAGGCAACCTGATCTACAGAGCATGTTCCAGGACAGCCTCCAAACCAATACAGAGAAATCCTGTCTCCAAAAACCAAAAAAAATTAGAATAAATTATAAATAAATGAAATAAATAAATAATAAAAAATTGTCTGGTGTCATTGTTTTTAATGGCATTGCATAAATATACCACATTTTCTTTATCCATTCTTAGGTTTGGGAGTCATCTAGATTGTTTCCAGATTCTGGCTATTATGAATAATGCTTCTATGAATATAGTTGAGCAAGTGTCCTTGTGGTATGATTGAGCATCCTTTGAGTATATGCCCAAGAGTGATATAGCTGGGTCTTGAAAATAATTGATTCCCAATTTTCTGTGAAACTATCACATTGCTTTCCAAAGTGGTTGCGCAAGTTTGCACTCCCACCTACAATGGAGGAGTCAAGCAGACATTTTTTAAGTAAAATATATATTACATGAAACTGACTTTGTCTTTAAGGGCCAGCATAATGGGAAGCTAATGGATAGAAAACTCCAGACAGCAAGACAGATCCAGGAAGGGGGTGCAGGGAGGCACCCTTGTTGTGAAAATATATGTTTAAGCAAATCCTGAAGACAAACGTCTGACTCTAAATAGAGAACTGGATGTGTCATCACCACTCCCTGATGATAACTGGAGAATATTCTCTGGAAGCAGAGTTTAGATCCATGGAGCTCATGGGCCAATATGAGCCCTTGAACACCACGATGAAACTCAATCCCGTTGGTTGTGTCCACTTGTAGTTCTGGAGCTGTCTGTAGACTTTCGCTGGTTGTGCCAAGCTTCTCCAATGATTGCCCCCAGGACTACCAAGACTACCCCAGCCAGGGCCATTCGGACAACATTCCACACCTCGTAGCTCTGGAGGGTGGGGGCTGAAAAGGAAAAGACAAGCGTAGTTATACAGAGAGTATTGTGAGAATTTGAACCTAGCATTACTCTTCTTTTTCTCCCCATCCTCAGCCACCTTTTATTTACATCCCCTCTCTCCTCAAACTAAATTTGAGTGGTATTAATAATAGACTAAATAAAACATTTATTTAGTCGTTCTCAAAAATAATGTCTGAGAAGGAAAGTTAAGATTTGAATCTACCCAGATTAGGGCACAAGCAGATCCAGAGTGGACACCACTGAACTCATCACATGACGAGGAGACAGAGGTAGTAATGACAGTTTGAGAATTAGGGGTGTGATGGGAGTCAGCCTGGCCTCTCCCTTGTCTGGTGACACTTTTCTACTCTGAGGCAGAATCCTCTAAATGGTCTGTGACATTGATATCTACTTCCCTGATGAGTACACACACATTTATTTATAGCTTCATGGTCTTCATAGGGGTGATCATATTTTAAAATCTTGCTAGAAATAAATACAGATACATAAATACATAGATACATAAAGCCTGCAAACCCGGGCTTAGTAGAGAGGAAAAATAATAGCAGAAAGGCAAGTTCTTCCTATTTCTACCTACAATGGTGCATCTACCCTTTCTGTGTAGTTTTAATTACAGGTGGCCCATCTAGAACCAATAAGTGGAGAGACCTCTAGCATATGGATGGCACACTTCCTCTTCCCATTTGGCAACACTTCCGCAACCTAATCAGCCCTTTTCTAAGGACACCCGTGGATGAGGGAGTCTTCTTAGATGGACACAGAGTCAGGAAGCACAGGATGGTAGCCTTACCTAGAGAGCCACTGTCTCACATGGCTATTTTCTGGATAAACTGGATGGATGCCCTAAGGCCTGGGTGGTGGGGTCAACCTTAAGCACACAGGATGTCTGGAGCACAGCAGTGGAAGAGAACTGGTGAAAATATTTTTAAGCCAATAATAACTCTATCCCTTCCTGATGGGCCAGACTTTTGGAGATGACCACATATGGGGAAAGGACCATCTCACCCTTAAGATTCAAAGTATTATCCAGTTCGGCTCAAGGGCCATCCTTGGACCATGGGACATGCTCAGTGGGAAGAGACCACACCAGAAATCACATATTACCAGGTCTTCTACAGGCTCTGATTCAATGGAAAAGAAAGGATAGTGTCATGCCAGTGAAGAGTAAAGTATTCCACTGAGGAGAATCAGTGTCCCCTACCATGTCTGAACCCCAGTCCCCACCCAGCTAGAAAAGGTAGTTGTATACTACTAAGGCCAGGATAGAACTGAGTCATGACAGTCAAGACAGTGAATAAAGCTAGAGCTTGAGAGGTCTGGGAACAAACCTGAGGTCATGTCTGAGACTGGAGGAGAGGCCTCGGTGATGTCCTCACGAATGACCTTCAGTTCCAGGGTCTCGCTTCGTGGGGACCAGGAGTTCCTTATATTATAAAGACAACTATAGTGCCCAGCGGTGTCTTTACTCACTGTACCAAGGTAGAACCTAGCTGCTGTCTTAGAAGAAGAGGAGTTTATCACATCTATGATTCTGAGATGTTCCTTCTCCAGGCGGAACCGCTCAAACCCCACAGGGCTCCTGCATGCGATGACAACCGATATCCCTCTAGGTAGCGCATGTGCATGGCCCGGTACAGCAAAGATGGAGGGTCTGGGTAGATGCCCTAGGAGGGAGCAGAGTGGGACTCTGTGTACAGGATGGGGACATTTTTCTCCTTTTTTGTAAAGGGTGGGAAGGAAATAACACAAGACCCACATCCTCCACCACGTCTGCATCCCACTTCCCATTTTTAGTCCAACCCTGGTTAGCTGGTGATGACATTTAGGAAGTCCCAGAGTCACACTGTGCAACTGTATCATCCTCTCCATGCTAAAGAGACGGAGCTTTGCTGGAGGAGACATTAAAGAACTCATAAACACCTTTGCTCTCTGTCAACTATGCAAACACGTGAAGGTTGGAACTGCAGTGACCTTGGACATTAAAAGATGAGTTTAATGTGAGTGGCCAAGAGAAAAGACTGGGAAGAAAGAGGAAAGCTATGTCTCTGGGTACCTGCTGGTGCTGTTGCAGGATTTCTGTTGAAGCTTTGGCTTTTGGAGGAAGGTGACTGGCAGGGAAAGTGGACTAAGGAGAGAACACTCACGGCCAAGTTAGATTCTGGTTTTTAATAAATGATGGTTACCAACAGAGAGAATTAAAGAAGATGCTTTGTTATCTAACACAAAGACCAGGATGAAAAATCAGATATGTACAGATGAGAAACCTGCAAAGTTTAGGGTATGTTGGATGAACAAACTAATGTGTGATAGCCTACAGCTTAAAGTGGGCTACAATCCTTCCTCAATCAACACAAATCCCATCTAGTGCAGCCATTAATGAGGAAGCATTAGAATCCCATGGCTATGACTCACCATCCTGCGTGCGAGTTGTCTGGCTCAGGGAGAATACTGAAAGAGAAATCCCAGTGAGAAAAACATCCACTGCTCAGGTTCCTTCAGCTGAGGTCATGGGTTAGGGAATAAGGGTGACTTGAAACCTCCAAACTCTCTAATCAGTGTTGCCTCTCAATGAGGCAGTCTCCTCCTCTGTGGTAGAGTCTCGACAAGGCCCAGGGGACCTCACAGCCAACCCCACTGGACCCACTTTGCCCCCAATTTTTATGACACACTGGTGATTTCAGGTGTCCTCTTGGTTAACTCAAGACATTAGACTGTGTGTGCCAGTGGGGCTGAATGCCCATCAGATATTTGTCACTCCTGCGTGACAGAGTGAATGGATCTTAGACCTGTGTCTCCCACCCTTCCTGTTTCTCTAGTCTATCTTCATTCACATACTCACTGAAGACCACGATGGAGATGGAAAGCAATGGGAACATGGTCCAGTGTCTCAGCCTGCTGTGTCTGCCCTGTGGTAGGAGAACAGACTCTTCAGTAAGACAGAGTGAGCGTACAGGGCTATATATCACAGGAAGGGAAGTGCTGCGAACCAGACCCCATTTGAACTTCCCCAAGTGAGTTACAAAAATTCTTTGTTTCATATATTGATGTATTGCCCAAGTAGTCTAAAAACAAGGTGTTAAACTTACATATAGCTGACTTGACATAGCTGGATACATGCACACATAGTATATAAATGATGCCTTGTCACAAAAAAACCAATATCTAATATACTGACGGATGATAAATTAAGAAAGGACTAGTAATGAATGAGTGATGAATCAAAGAGAGGAATGATGAATGGATAGGTGAATAATGTATACATGTATGAATGAATGGATGCATGTATGCATGAATGGGTATGTTGATGGATTGATTTGAGGGTGATAGCATGGATAAGTGGATTGAGAGGTGTGTGGATGGGCAAATGGAAGATTATTGGTGCATTTAGGTTTGGATGGATGGATGGATATTTGGGTGGATGAATTGATTGATGGGTGGATGGATGAATGGATGCTAGTCACATAAGCAGGATGGAATAGGGACAAAAACCTTCCTGGCGAAACTCTAAAAAAAAACTCATACTTATCAGGTGACACATTTTTCTCTCTATCATGCAAAGAGAAAGCTATTCATTTTACTTATGGTTGAATATACTATCATACCTATCATATTAAGTGAAAGAAGTCAGAAAGACAATTATCACATGCTTTTACTTACTTATGTAATCAAGAAAAATATTTAAAATCATTTGTATTATCAGGGATAAATAGATGGGAGAGGGAATATTGGGAGCACTGAGGTGAATATGATAAAAGTGTGTTATGTGTGGATGAAAGTGTTATAACAAACCCCATTATTTGTGCAATTAATAGATTACAATTAAATGTATTCTTTTATCTAACACACTTGCATATCACAGGGGTATTGCACACATTGAGAACTCATTCCTGGATTATATTCTGTTCTCTAAATTGAGGTCCCCCTGGGTCAACTACCTAGCCCTCCATCCTTCCTACTCCTTTAACCAACAATAGATGGTCTAGAGACCCAAATGCATTGACACGCTACTGGGAATGTGCTGATGGGAAGAGCTTTTTGGATTGTCCAATCTAAAAACACCCAGATAGATCTGATGTAGTGTGGCTTCAGTGTGCACATCAGGGTGACCTTGCAGCCTCATCCCCAAGAACTTCCAGTCTCCCATAAGCCCCTCCTTTTTCTGTTCTGAGAGACCTCGCCTGCTGTCTCCCACGGTCCTCATGTCCAAGATGCCTGAGGTCTCACAGTTGTCACTAAGATATGAGGTCTTCTTCCACTGGGTCTCTGGGGTCTTGCACAGGATCTCTGTCCAATGGTCTCCTGTCCCTTCTTTCTCGTTTTCCTCAAGCCTGGAGAAACTTCTCAGTGGGTGAAGCGTCACTTGTTCCAGAGTTACAGGGGTCTAGGAGCATCTGCTCCTGCCTAGGTAAACAGATGTTGCCTCTCATTCAAGGAACCCAGTAGTGCTCTCTGGAGATCTTCCCCTACATGTCTGCAGGGAACTGGGTAGTGGGGCTTCATCTGAGAGCTACTCTTCCCCTGCCTACTCTAACTCCACCAAGATGCTCTAGCCTGGTATCGCCTGCATAGGGCACTCCGGGGAGAGTACCAGGAATGTCCTCTCTGGATTTTTCTTTTTGGTCTGAGACAGGGTCTCACTGTGTAGACCAGGCTGGCCTTTAACTCACAGGGATCAGCCTGCCTCTGTCTTCCAAGTGTGAGCTACCACATGCCCAGCTGTGATGAAATCTTATTCCTCTGGACTGTAAACTCGAACTTTCTTCTGTAAGTTGCTTTTGGTACTGACGTTTTATCAGAGCAACCGAAAAGTAACTACTACACAACATGGCAATATATTCTTGGATCTGAAGAATTAATGTCACAAAAATTTCAATTCTCCCTAAGTAAAAATATAAATTGAACATAACCTATTTTTTTCCATCTTCCCGACAACTCTTCATTCATCCTAGTAACGTCAGAAGCTGCGGGGTCACACAGTATACCCTCTTATCCAATCAGCCCCACCCACAAAATGTTCGTTGTAGTGAGTCATTGATTTGGTGCAAGGCCTCTGGCTCACAATCATCACTGGATCCTCACCGAAATTCTTCTTGGATGTCCTGCCGTTTCTTCGTGGAGATCCTGTAGCATCATGGTCCTTGGAAACCAACATGGCCACAGGATGTAGCTTAACCCAGGGTATCTGTGTGGCCTTTAGTGGCACCATGGGCCATGGACATTACAGACTCTGGCTGTGTTAGGACCACGGGCCTAGACGTAATCCCCTGCAGCAGTCCAAAAACAGATACCACCCTGACCCCAGGTAGAGGTACTGTCCTCTCAGATCAGCATGGCCTCTGCAGCAGAGTCACACCTGTATTTTTAAACAGTGTTTCTTCACATTCATGGCTAGTATCCTAGTTTCATTTCTGTTCTTTTATTTAACTATTTTTCCTTTCACTGATATTTACTTACTTAGTATTTATTCATGAAGCACAGTACATAGTGATAACTATTTTTAATTGTGCATTAGATTTATTCATTTTGTTTTATTTGTGACTATTTTGCCTGCACGTAGTGTATATGCACTGCCCTGTGCATGCTAGGTGCCTGCAAAAATCAATTAAGAGTGTCACATCTTCTGGAACTGGAGTTAGAGATGGTTGTGAGCCACCATGTGGATGCTAAGAATCAAACCCATGTCCTTTACAAGAGCAGCCAGTAATCTTAACATCTGAGCCATCTCCCAGTTCAGGTTATGACAATCTTGTGTGTGTGTGAGTGTGTGTGTGTGTGTGTGTGTGTGTGTGTGTGTGTGTGTGTGTGTGTGTGTGTAGTTCTGCCACTCTGGATCCTATCAAATTGACGCCATCCAAATTTCCCTTCAGGAGAGGATTTCTAGCAGGGCTCTTTGTGGGTAAAGGGTGTTTACTTTAGCACAAGCACGCTGGAAACCGGTTTCTTTTGCTGTTGCTGCTGTCCTAGCTTCATTTCTCGTGTTTTCTTTCAGCCCAGTGTGTGTTCTGAAGATGCACGACCAAGATAACACACTCTCACCCCCTAGTGGTCCTCTGACTATTTAACTTTTCTCTTCTTTTCTGTTTTTTTTTTTTTTTACAAAATAAAATATAACAAGATAAAACAAAAGCCCATCACATCTAGGTTGGACAATGCAGACCAACAGAAGAGAAAGAGCCCAAGAGAAGGCCCGAGAATCAAAGACCCGCTTGTTTTCACACTCGGGAGACCAATAGAAACATTAAACGGAAAGCCTCAATTAACATTATAATTATAGATTGGGTGGGAGGTTGGGGGACCTGGGGGGAAAGGGAGGGGGAGGGGGAAGTGAGGAAGCTGGGATTGACATGTAAAACAAGCTTGTTTCTAACTTAAATATAAAGTACTGCAATTATAGACCTCTGCAGGCCCTGTGCATTCTGCTTCAGTATCTGTAAGTTCATATGACTGGATTTTTTTTCTTTTTTGATTAGCATTTTAATTTATTTTTGAAATTTTCACAGCTGTGAGAATTTGGGTCTTCTCTGCCTCTCCAATGCCTCTCTCCAGCTCCCCAGGGCTCTACCATTTTTTTTTTTTGCTTTGTATCACTCCATGCTTCATGTCTTTTGGGGGGTTGGGCTGTGGTTTTAAGACAGGGTCTCACTGTGTGGCCCTGGCTGGCCTGGAACACACTATGTGGACCAGGATGGCCTAAAACTCACAGAGATCAGCCTGCCTCTGCCTCCTAAATTACCAAGAGGAAAGGTGTATGCCACTGTGCCCTGCAATGCCCTCTTTTTAAATTATTGTTGTTGGAATGTGAGATGAACTCTCACCCTGAACTCTTGGGGAAGGGTCTAGGCCCTGCCCTGGATGAAATGACAGTCTATGGACACCCCCATGGAGGTCCTCACCCTCCCTGGGGAAATGAGGGCATAATGGGGGAGTTGGGGGGAGAGCATGGGAGGAGGGGAGGGAAAGGGAGAGGGACCTGGAACTGACTTGTGAACCAACCGTGTTTCTAATCTAAATTTAAACTTAAAAATAGAAAAAATTAATAATAAAAAATTATTGTTGTTGGTTGCTGTTGTTGTTAATAGCTCTGGGAGTCTACTTAGCACTGGCCATATGTGCATCGGTATGGAAGCATTGATGCTAACCCTGTGTCGGGGCAGAGACACGGAAAAGTAGCATCTAACAGTGATTCGGTGTCCTCCTGCTCTGTGTGCACGAGTACACTCGTGTGTGTGTGTGTGTGTGTGTGTGTGTGTGTGTGTGTGTGTGTGAGTCTGCCTGTGTGTAAGTGTGTGTAGACAGAACAGCTCTGCCCACCACCCTCAGCCTTCCCTCTCCTTTGACTCCTCCTTCCTCTTCTGTCCCTGATCAACACACTCCAGTAAGAAACACTGACCCATGAGACAGACCGCAGACTGACAGCTGGGAAACCAGCATAGAACCGAACCAGGACCCCTGAACCTGGGTGTCAGTTAAGAGGCCAGGGAAGTCTGTGGGGTCTCTGGCAATGGAACCAGCATTTATTCCTACTGCACGAATGGACTTTGGGAGCCCATTCCTCATGGAGGGATACTCTATTAGGCTAGATACATGGGGGAGGGCCTAGGTCCTGTCCCAAATGAGGTGTCAGACTTTGATGATCCCTCATGGAAGGCCTCACCCTCCCTGGGGAGTGGATGGGGGTGGGATGGGCGGTTGGTGGGGGCCATGGGAGGAGGGGACGGAGAGGACATTGGGATTGGTATGTAAAATAAGGTTGTTTTTAATTTAAATAAAATTTTATTTAAAAAATAAAAACAAGAAACACTGACGAAAGTTCAGTCATCCGTGCGCGTGTTCAGGGCATCCAGTGGGAGGTGGCAGCTGTGCTGAGTATTTGTGCTGATAGCTATGCACACAACATCACACCAAGCCCTGATGGTCCTCACTTGAGTATGCACAGTTTTAGTCAACTACACGTACATTTTAAAGAAAAAGAAACCATTAGAACCTTTTGTAGCCCTCATTTTCCCACTCATCTCTACACAGCAGTAAAGACAGAACTTGGGTCCTTAGAGGCTATGTGTCTAAGACCCACCCAGGTTATAGATACCCCGTCTTCAAAATTACCCATGATGCACCCATGAGGCCTGATGCAGAGAAGCAGCTTAGCTTTCAATAGCACGAGTACAACCCAGTCAGAGTCGCCAGGGAGAGATCCAAGGAAGTCTTCAGGGTTTCGCTGGGCTCATTGCAGAGGTGAGGGTATAGAGGCAGCTGGAAAGTTCTAGTGCTGTTCTCCAAATATCTAGGCTGTGGGAGGGTCTGTAGAATAGCTAACAGGCTGTAGCTAACAAGCTGTAACTCTGTCTCTGGAAATAGCTAGGTGGTTGTAACTGCGGCTCTTACTGCAACATGGTCTTTCCAAGGACTGATACTACCATCTACACAATACAACTCCTAGATGAGGAACAGGGGCCTCCAGGGGTCTGGTTTCTGTCTCAAGCAGAACTGTCTGGCTTGCTTTCCACACCAGGGTGATCCCAAAAGGAGCCCTTGAATGGCTGTCGGGCTTTTCCAACAGTGATTGTGCGTGTCTCCAAGTGTGCCCAGGCTCAGCGTCTGATGATAGCTGCGTATGTGCTGGACTCGGGCGTGGTATCTCTGCTCTGTGGGGACATAGCTCCAGCTGTCCTCTGTGTGAGGGCATGATGGTCCAGATGGGCATATGTCACCTCCTGAAGGCCTCCTGCAACAGGGATCTGAGAGAGAGAGGCCCAGGAGAGTTAGGGTGGCTGTGGGGGGAGGGGTTGTGAGGAGTGGGAAGCTATCCACAGCAGCTGTATTATAGTCATGTTATCCTGTGATTTCCCCACCCCAATGGTTTTTTTTGGTTGGAATAAGTAGTTTCTACACACTCGTGTCTTGGATGCTCTCTCTTGGGAAAGCCAGCCGCTGTGGAGAGCTCCCCTGTCTATCGCCGTTAGAATGTGTCACTCAGGACAAGGTGACAGCATCTGTAGTCAACACTTTTTGAATTCTTCTGGACCAACGTTCCTTATCCAAGGGACTGAAACCATGTTACTAAGCTGCTACATTTGGGAGCATTTTGTTAGTTAGCACTAGATGACAAATACAAAGACCTACCTGGGTTTCTGACCTTCTGTCCTCAGGAAGCCTGTCATCTGTGACTATGTCTATAGAGAAGACATAGGATAAGTTCTCTTTGGTGGACACTCAAAGACAATGTGACCACATTATATCCCACCCCACCTGGAACCCTTTACAACGTTCCTAGATGTTTTCCTTGCCCGTTGCTTCCCAGTGGACTGGGCAACCCCTTCCTTACCCCTCATATTCCTCACCTGGTGTACTCTCCAGGCCATTAGTAACTAGGCTGAGTCTGAGGGGGAAGGATAAGATGAACATTAGAGACTGATTGGAGGCAAAAGACTGGGCAAGGGTATGGGAGTCATTCCAGGAGTCTCACCTCTTTTGTGGCCTCTGCTGCTGCTTCTTGCTGTTTGTGAGCCCTAGGAAGAGTTAGCAGTCCATGTTTAGGAGGGAGGTCTTGTTTCCAGTACTCCCAACAGCCTACCAAAGCCAACTCTTGCCACAGACACCTACCCTGCTTTTTTTGCCGATGGCTATGGAAGCAGAAGAGAAGGAGGAGGAGAAGACAAAGGAGGAAGATCACAGAGACGCCAGTGAGTATATAAACGCCATTGGTCTTCAGCCAAGATGTGTCTAGGGAAGATGGTAACCAGGTTATCAGAAGCATACATTCATTGAGTACCCACTACACAGCGCACGGATGCTAGGTGGTATTCATGGATGTGAGAATATGTAAAATTTCACATGCATAGTAGCCTTGGAACATTTAATCATTATCTTCATGTTACCCATCAAGAGTGTTGACCTACTTTGTGCTCTGGAACACACTAGCCGCCGGCAGAGCCATTTAAGGACTCAGCCGTCATATGTAGCTAATGACATCCACCCTTGTTCTCACAGACAAGAGCACTGACTTCGTGATTGGAGTCATGTAGGACAGTATTGTCTGCCACACTCTGCAGAGCTTTGCCAAGACTGATTTCCTCAACAAACTCCCACTTGGGTACCCACTGAGGTCAAGAACAACCATCTCTATGTGTTCCTCAGGGTAGCCACTGACAGGAAGGAGCACAGTGTGCAGGGGACTCTGCCTGCTAAGCTCGCTTAGATAACATCTTGTTCACAAAAGGACACAATGGGCTACCAACGATGCATTTCTCTGAGCACAGGTTGTCACGCGACCACATGGCCTATGGACATATGTCCCAGAAGAAAAGGACCCTTCTTTTTTTTTAAAATACTAATCCCATTTCCCCCTCCTCCTACTCTTGCCACCTTCCCCTCAGTGTACCCCTCTTTTTGTTCCTCAGAGAGGGTACAGCCTCCCATGGGAGTCAATGAAGTGAGGTCAATTTTGTATGGAAAAACAAAAGATCCAGGATAGGCAAAACAACCTTACTCAACAAAGCAACATCGGGAGGCATCACCATCCCCGACCTCAAGCTCTATTATAGAGCTGTAGTCCTGAAAACAGTTTGGTGTTGGCACAAAAATAGACAGGTAGACTAATGGAATCGAATTGAACACCCTGATATTAACCCACACACGTACGAACATCTGATCTTTGACAAAGAAGCTAAAAATATACAATGGAATAAAGAAAGCATCTTCAACAAATGGTGCTGGCATAACTGGAGACTGGCATGTAGAAGAATGTGGATCGATCCATGTTTATCGCCATGCACAAAACTTAAGTCCAAATGGATCAAAGACCTCAACATAAATCCAGCCACACTGAACCTCTTAGAAGAGAAAGTGGGTAGTACCCTTGATTGAATTGGTACAGGAGACAGCTTCCTGAACATAACACCACTAGCACAGACAGTGAGATCAACAATTAATAAATGGGACCTCCTGAAACTGAGAGGCTTATATAAGGCAAAGGATTCAGTCAGCAAGACAAAAAGGCAGCCCACAGAACGGAAAAAAAATATTCACTAACCCCACATCTGACAGAGGGCTGATCTCCAAAATTTACAAAGAACTCAAGAAGCAAGTCTCTAAAACACCAAAGGATCCAATTAAAAAGAGGAGTCTAAAACGGCTGAGAGGCACTTGAGAAAGTGCTCAACATCCTTAGCCATCTGGGAAATGCAAATCAAAACAACACTGAGATGCCATCTTACTCCTGTCAGAATGGCTAAAATCAAAAACACCAATGACAATTTATGCTGGAGAGGATGTGGTGAAAGGGGGACACTCCTCCACTGCTGGTGGGAGTGCCAACTTGTACAGCCATTTTGGAAATCAGTATGGAGATTCCTCAGAAAAATGGGAATAAACCTACCACAAGACCCAGCAACTCCACTCTGAGGCATATATCTAAAAGATGCCCATTCATACAACAAGGATGTCTGTTCCACTATGTTCATAGCAGCATTATTTGTAATAGCCAGAACCTGGAAGCAACCTAGATGCCCCTCAACTGAAGAGTGGATAGAGAAAATGTGGTACATTTACACAATGGAGTACTATTCAGCAGAAAAAAAAACAATGGAATCCTGAAATTTGCAGGCAAATAGATGGCACTAGAAGAAACCATCCTGAGCCAGGTAACCCAGTCACAAAAAGAGAAACATGGCATGTACTCTCTTATATATGGCTTTTAGACATAGACCTGGGGAGTGCCAGCCTACAATCCCATGGCCAGAGAGTCTGGGAGACAGAACCTTCATTCAGTGGCTGATGGAAGCAGAGGCAAACTCCCACAGCTAAACACTGAGCTGAACTCAAGAAAGCCAGTGACAGAGAGGGAGGATTGATGACCAAAGGGGTTAGGACTGGGCTGGTTTAACCCCAGAAACAGCCGACCTGACAAGGGTTAACTCTTGAATCCCAGGCATCAGCCTGGGAATCCAGCATGGGACTGATCAAGACCCCCTGAATGTGGGTGTCAGTGAGGAGGCCTAGGTAATCTATTGAGCCTTGGGTAGTAGATCAATATTTATCCTGGGTATACAAATGGACTTTGGGCTCCCATCCAACAATGAGAAATGCACTCCTACCCTGGACTCTTGGTGGAGGGTCTAGGCCCTGCCCTGGATGAAATGACAGACTATGGACACCCCCATGGAGGACTTCACCCTCCCTGGGGAAATGAGGGGATACTGGGGGTTTGGTGGGAGGGCACAGGAGGAGGGGAGGGAAAGGGAGAGGGACCTGGAATTGACATGTGAAGCAACCTTGTTTCTAATTTAAATTTAAAAATAAAATAGATTTAAAAAAAAAAAGAAATGGGCTCCAAAAACCAGTTCAAGCATTAGGGATAGGTCCTGGCCCCACTGCCAGTGCCCTACAAACTGTCCAAGTCACTCACTGTCACCCACATTCAGGAGGTCTAGTTCCATCTTATGCAGGTTCCCCGGGTGTCAGTCCAGAGTTAGTGAGCTCCCACTCGCTCGGGTCAGCTGTTTCTGTGGGTTTCCCCATCACGGCCTTGACCCATTTGCTCACATCTTTGCTCCTCCCTCTCTGTCTGGATTCGGGGAGCTCGGTCCAGTGGTTAGCTATGGATCTCTGCCTCTGCTTCCATCAGTTACTGGATGAAGGTTCTGTTCTGACAATTACAGTAGTCCTCAATCTAATTACATGGGAAGGCCAGTTCAGACGCCCGCTCCACTGTTGCTTAGAGTTTTATCTGGGATCATTGCTGTGTATTCCTGGGATTTTCATAGTGCCAGGTTTCTTGCTAATCCCTTAGTGGCTCCCTTTATCAAGGTAATTTTTCCCTGCTCTCCCTCTTTGTCCTTCCCCGATTCAACCTTTCCATCTCCTCATGTTCACCTCCCCACCCCCCTTCTCTCTCCCCTCCCGCCTCCCTGAGAAGATCTTGTTTGTTTCCCATTCCGAGGCGGATCCACGTGTGTCTCTCTTGGGGCCCTCCTTGTCTCCCAGCTTCTCTGGGGTTGTGGCCTGTAGGCTGGTAATGCTTTGCATTGCGTCTAATATCCAATTGTGAGTGAGTACACACCATGCTTGTCTTTGTAGGTCCAGGTTTCCTCACTCGGGGTGGTTTTTCCCAGTTTTGTTGATTTGCCTGTGAATTTCAAGATGCAAAAGACCATTCTTAAGTGACACGTGGCTGTACGTTCCATGCGACATGAATAAGCACAGCTAAGGTTCTGTGGGTGTGGGGTCTAGAGTGAGGACCATAGTTCAGATCCCCGGAACCCACAGCAAAAGTCAAGTGGACGTGATAGGCAGCCTGTAATCCCAGTGCTTGCAAGCTAGAGACAGGAATCCGCTGAGAAATCTGGCTAGTCGGACTACCTGCAACAGTGAGCCCTGGGGTCAGAGATGGCGCCTCATCGCTGAAGGTGGAGAACACTCCAATAAGACATTCAGCATCAGTCGTGGACCTACACACACATACATGTGTGTGTATACATGAGGCTGCACCCACATGAATGTCAACACACATGAGAACACACACTACACAACATCTATCCCCATAGCAAAAAGTCAGAAAGCAAATATGAAATAAAATAGTATGTTGCTTTCCATCACAAATTAATATATAACTTGTATATGCTATCTTTCAAACATACAAATTACACATTGCTATCCTAATAAATGTGTGCCTGTATGTGTGTTATAGTAATAAATATCTGCTAAGCTGTATATTGCAAATACGAAATGCCATGTGGTACTATTTAAAATGGAGCAACATGCACTATACTTATTTGTAACGGTATATTGTTACATCAACAATTATATTTTAATTATAAGGTAATTATATAATTCAATATAAATTTAATTTTAGACCTGAGATTTTAGTGTATTTCTGTGATTCGCCTAATTATCTCTCCATTATGCCATTTATTTCTCTCCTCCCACCGTGAGTGTCCAGTTTGACTCATCCTCGGACCGGTGCATTTAAAATGAGGGAATAGTTGTTTAAAAAGTAAAAAACAGGATGGTGGTTCAGTATGTTTAGCTAGGAAACGCATCATGACGTGTCCCGCCACAATGGCACAGAAACGGACTCCGCCCAGAACACCAGCTTGCTACCCTCTATCTTCCCACTGTCCGAGTCCCTGTCCACCACTCCACCTGCCAGAACTCACAGCTTAGCCTCACAGCAACACAGCCTAGGTCAGACAGCTCGCAGTGACTCAGAACCACATCCTCTCCCTACAGCGTTGTGGCCATGGTGGCACAGCCCAGTAGCTTGAGACACAAGGAATGAAAAAAAAAAACAACTCCTTCCGCATCCATCAGCGTCCCAGACTAGCTAACTTTCGCAGGCCACACGCTTCCCGTGGCCCCTTCCTCTCAGGGATCCCTCTGTCTTTGTCAGGCAGGACACTGAAAGAGTCCCCCAATGTCACTTGCAAGGAGGGACCCAACAGGCTCGATCGCACAGAGTAATGGGAGCAGTGAGGCTCACACCACAAGAGGGCAGCATAGTGCTGCGCAAACGGAGGCCTGGGGCGTGGCTGCGGGGACCGCTTCTGATGCCCAGTCTTCAGAACTTGGCATCCTTGACCAAGAACGTTAATTCTCTCCATATTTGAGCCACAACACCAGCAATGAAGCAGAGCTTATGAGGAGAGCTACGTAGAGCCCTTCTCCATCCTAGGTATGGATCCAAAAGGAATGGTTTGCCCATCACTCAGCCCCAGGCCATGAGGGAGACATGGAATGACAGGACAAGAGAAACAGGAAACATAGCAGAGTCCCTCCTCAATCCCTCCTGTAGAATACTGGTCCTTCCTTCCGCTCGCCCTGTCACTCGCTCGCTTGGCCGCACACGGTAAACACTGAGACGCTCCTAGGAAGACGTGGGAAGACATGGAGATGGACTAGAACTTCTTTTAGTACCCTGACTCCAGTACAACCCGGGGCCTGACCGCATGCAGACTATATGAAAGCACTCCCAAAAGAATAGCCCAGGCCTGCCCACCAGCCCTCCCTGGACCGTATGACCTGCTTGGTGAGATGGTACCACGCCCGAGGAGATACATTCCTGCAGCCACCACAGGCTCGGACTCAATGGAAGGACAGGATAAATCACCATGCCAGGTGAAAAAAATCGTTCATTCCCTGAAAGGAGTCTACACCCACCATTGCTAGAGCTCAGTCCCTATCCAGTAATCAGGAATAACTCAGTGTCCTGTCGTTTAGACTGTACCCAGGTCATCCATGGGGTCTGGTAAGACTGAAGTTCTAGAAATCTGGGGTTTTGGGGCCAAGGGGACATGAGCTGAGGTAGGTGGGGGAAAGGAACCTTGGATTTAGGGAACTGCAGGGGAATTTAAGGGAGGGGATCGCAGCTAGGTTTAGGGAGCTCAGAACAAACCTGGGTCAGGAGCCTGGGTGACATATTCTCTCGTTACCATCAGCTCCAGGGCCTCACTGCGTGGGGACCAGGTGGACTCTTTCTCATAGATACAGGTATAGCTCCCAGCAAAGCTGTCATCCACTGGGCCAAGGCGGAATCGAGCCTCTGTCAGAGAATCGGGGGTGCTCGTCTCATCCATGACTTTCCAGTTTTTCTTCTCCAGGCGGAATATGTCATACCCACTAGAGCTTGAGCACACAAAGATTACAAAATGCCCTTGGGGGACAGTAAGGCCTGGTTCAGCGGAGATGGAAGGAATCTCCAGAAACCCTAGGAGAGAGCAGAGCAGGAATCTCAGTGTACACAGGCAGGACACCATCACAACACTAAACCAATTTAGGGGTGCATTCTATATTATCACCAAGTTTAGAGTTCTCCAGACATGATCAAAGTGCAGCTCCATGACATCCTCACTTTCTGTGTGCATTTGAATTCCCGTCACATGACACCAAGGAACCTAAGCCTAAGCACATCTTCGGTCTAGCAAAGAATCATCCAAGGAAAGCTCAGAACATGCCAGGCTGGACATGTCTGTTACAGAGCCCACTGTCTCTCTGGGAACTGCCTCATTCCAGGGACCTCTGCACTTACTACCTCTATCTCCACCTTCTGTCCAGTCTGTTATTGCGGCTTTAAAAGCCCACCTGCTTCAAGCTGTCTGAATGTAGGAGTGTTCCCATAAATCACAGATAAGTATACTTATGTCAAGAAACAAACTTAAGACACTCACGTTTACTGTGTTCAAGGCGATAGCTTAGTATACCTTGTAAAACAGCTGGTCCAAGCTAATCAATGTGGATAAACTCACAAACTTACCTTTTTGTGAGAATAGCATTCATCGCCCCACCCCTTTAGCAATTTCCAAGTTTACAAATGCATAGTTGCTAGCCGTGCTGCATAATTGACCTCCTGCCCTTAGCCATGCATAAGTGAAATTTTCTGCCCTTAGACCAAGATTTCCTAATCTTCTCTCCTTCCTTCACTCATTCTTTCAACCATTTTTAATATCATAGTCATCATTTTGGGGTTGTTTTCTACGTTTCCATGGCTTCACTTATACAAGGAACACAATTTCTTCCATTTGAAGCTAAAGCATGGGAGGGAATACAGAGGGAGAAAGAATAAACTGTCCAGTCCCATGACACAAAGACTTCAGGGAAGGTGTGAGGGGGAGCAGAGGAATCTCCAGTGACAGGTGAGATCAGAGGTGTCCTCCCTGAAATGACAGGGGAGAGATACTTGCTCGGAGGCCCAAAAGACAGGAGGAAACGCCCTGCACCTAGCAGAATAAAACATGGATGAAACACTGTGTAAAATGCCACTCAGAGAACACAGGCAGACCCTCTGTCACACAAGGAGAAGTATTTCAAGAGCTCAGCCAAAGATTGTTAACACAGCACCTCGTGTCCACGGGAGTCACTGAGAGCTGAGTTTGAGTGTCATCTGAAGCCGGGCGTCGGTGGCACACGCCTTTAATTCCAGCACTCGGGAGGCAGAGGCAGGTGGATCTCTGTGAGTTTGAGGCCAGCCTGGTCTACCAAGTGAGTTCCAGGACAACCTCCAAAACAATACAGAGAAACCCTGTCTCAAAAAAAAAACAAAACAAAACAAAAAAAACAAGTGTCACATGAAAAGGGAAATGTGTGGGAGAAATCATATGCTAATTGGCTTGATTTGGTCACTCTCTAATATCTACTCATTTCCAACTGTGAAGTCAGACATGGTAAACACATGCAATCTTTGCCATTTTAAAAATTAAACTGGAATTAATCCTGTGAGATAATGCAGAGAGTGTGGGGGCAGTGGGTGCAGTGTTTAAGGAAAGGGGAAGAATGTTGAGGACCTAGAGACAGACAAGCCTGACAGGACAAGGAGATTGATTGTGACAGTGACCGGGCTGTGACATCCGTCACCCCATTGATCCCCAGGGCTGATGGCTGATCTGGCTGGCTAGGGGGCTGTCCCCTTCCTCCCTCCTCCCTCCTCCCTCCTCCCTCCTCCCTCCTCTCTCCTCCCCCCTCCCTCCTCCCTCCATGTGCATCCCTTCCGGAGCTGCTGCTCCTCCCCAGTAGAGGAGGACCTGTCTTTGGTCAAGAGTATATGAGTAGTTGCTCTGCGCTGCTCAAACCTCCAAACAAAGCTCTCAAGGACAAAGGGATCAGGAAGCGGGAGGCAGAAGTCACCAGCTCCGAGAAGCACATTGATCTGACTCTGTGTCAAAACAAACTATGGAGGCTGAGTCACGTCCCACCTCAGGTTCAGCCTGACTTGCTCATCCAGCGTTCTAGCCTCTGACTGGCAAATGGGGCTCTCCACCCTCAGGGAAGAAGTTTCTTTTCACAGCACCTGGAGACCATTACAGCAAACCTCCACTGGTCAAAACGCAGAAAACAACTGGTAATGAGGGTCTGTTCCCAATGGACACATCTACAACACATTTCCGTAACTAAGGTTCGGGGAACATCACAGAAGAGGGAACAAGAATACTGTAAGAGCCAGAAGACAAGGACATCTCCAGTGAGAGTGTATCTTACCAATAGGACTGGGGAGCTATACCCATGATACCTCAACAATATGGCTGCCTAAACATGTTCTGAGCAAAGACAACATCAGCTGACATCCCAACTTGGATGAGGGAAATCTCACAGGACCCCATGCCTTGATGAAGAGCTAAAAGTGTTTAGTGACTGCTGAGAGAGGGAGGATTAGTATTCCCCAGGGATGAGCCCCTTAGCTGGTTTCCAATACCAAGTCATCATCTGTGAAAGCACATGTATGCATGCATGTATGTATGCATGTATCACTAACCACCACACAGCAAGTTGTATTTATGTATTTATTTGAATATATGTAACAATACTAAATAAAAAGAGGCCGTGCATTTGAGAGGGATCATGGAAAGCAGGGACATAGAGGGAGTTGGAGGGACTATAGAGAGGGGAGAAACAGTGTAACTATATTTTAATCAAAAAATAGTTTTGAAAAATTGCAGAGAAAGGTGGTGGGTGATGCCCAGTTCACAGGGCCGGAAAAGGCTCTGTTTAAAGGAACATGTGAAGTCTCTGGGATAACACATAAATAAAATCTTCCAAGTATAAGGATGATATCTGTGGTTCTTCTTGGCAAGGAACAATCTCCATGGTGTCAAAAAGGGTGATAGGATGTATACAAGGATGATGTATACACGCAGAGCAGACACGAGGGAAGGAGCTGAGGAAGACGTTAGCAGACTTTTATGCAACAGGGAGAGAGACCTGTGGCTGTGTGTGGGGTTGCACGCATGTAATGCTGACACTTAGAAGGCGGAAGCAGGCATATATCTCTGTGTTCTACGACAGCCTGCTCTACAGAGTGAGTTCCGGACCAGTCACAGGTACACAGTGAGAATCTGTCTCAAAACAAACAAACTAATTAAATGAACAGACTTACAAAGTTAGTAGGAGGAGTCAACAGGACCTGGTGACACATTGTACATAGGAAGATAGACAGGTGAGATCAAGTGTGGCTTCTCATGCTCTGTGGTGGAGACTGTCAAGGCCTTGCTAAGGGGATCCTAAGAGAGATCTGGGTTACGGGCAGACATCACTCAGCTGTAGGCTTGGCCATGCTGGATAGAACTGTCTTTGCAGACAGCCTGTCATAGAGTTATCTCATCCCCCACCTTCTTCCCAGCATGATTCAGGGTAGAGAAGAGAGAGAATCGATACAGCTGTCAGTCGGTAGATGAATAGAGTAAAAAAAAAAAATATATGGCCCACAAACACATTAGAGTACCGGTCATCCTTCAGAGAGGAAATGCTGCTGTTGGTGGCAACGAGAATGAATATGAGGATGTTAAATGAAATAAGCCATTCACAGAATGACATACTACAGGATCTCACTTATATATGGAATGCAAAGGCATTGGCCCCAGAAACAAACAGAATGAGAGAAGAATGGTTGGTTGCCTGAGTCTAGAGAGAAGGTGGATGCAGACAGAGAAGATGGTCATCAAAGATCTGAAATTCCATTTAGACAGGAGAAATGCATTTCTCGAGCTCTACCATGCATGACAGTTTCTTTAAAAATTCCCACAACGGCAGATGTGTAACACTCTCACCAACAACAAAAAAAATGATGATTGTCAAAGATGACAGACATGAGACATAGCCTAATTTAATCATAGTGTTGTGTAAACACACCTCAAAACAGTGAATTACATCCAATAAATATATACTGGTACTATTTGTCAATTAAAAACATTTTTAACCAAGAAAACAAAGGAAGACAGGTAGGAAAGGGAAGAGAGGTGAAGGCTGAATATTTGGTAGGAATATTACAGGGAATATTGAAGGGTCTCCTCCAGGCCGCCCAGGTGCACACGATCCTCTCCAAAGACACCCACGGGTGCAGAAGCATCCAAAGACTTGACTCACCTTCCTTGGTGTTAACTGTCTGTCCCAGGCACAGCACTGAAAGAGAAGACCCAGTGAGAAAGACGCTCAACACATGGTTTGCTTACAGATGAGAATCTGGGAAGGAGGAGACATAGGTGGGGACATCCAGCCTCCCATGATCACCCAACCATCCCTCCTCCCCATTAGTGTCAGAGTACAGTCCTCCTTCTACCTCTGAAAGAACTCTGGAACTAACCCCAAGGCCAGAGGCAGAGACACAGACTCAAATCCCAGCTTACTCAACTGGGTCATACATTCAAGTATTACTTGGGCTACAATGTGAGCTTGAAGACAGACCAGGTCTCAAAACCAAAAGTAAAATGGAGTTAATTCAGAGTCTAGCCCAATCGTTATCAGAGAGGCTTCCTCTAGCAGATGACAGAGCAAATACAGAGACCCACCGCCAAACATTAGGTGGAGCTTGGAGAGCCGAGAGGGAGGGGAATAGGAAACACTGTAGGAGCCAGAGGGGTTCAGGACACCAGGAGAACATGGCCCACACTAAGCAGGGTTCATAGAGCCTCACAGAGACTGAAGCAGCAATCTCAGAACCTGCATGGGTCTGCACTATGGCCTCTGCGTGTATGTTATGGTTGTTCATCTGGGAGGTTTTGTGGGACTCCTCACAGGGGACGCAGGTGTACCTCTAACTCTTTTGTCTACCCTTGGGGCTTATTCTTTCTACTGGATTGCCTCGTTCAGCCTTGATATGAGGGTTTGTTCCTAGTCTTATTGCATCTTGCTATGGCATACTAGACTGATATCTCCTGTGAGAACTGCTCTTTTCAAAGGGATGCTGGAGGAGCAGTGGATGTGGGGGATACAGAAGGAGGATGGAGGAACGGGGCAGGTGGGGGCGATGGAGGAAGGGGAAACTGCTGTCGGGATTTATTATATGAGAGAAGCATGAATAAAAATGGAAAAAAGTAAAATGAGCACTGGAATGGAGTGGGGAGGGTTCAGAAAGTCCCCACTCCTAAGATGAGGATCTGTTTACAGTTTATGGCTTCCGGGAAAGGGAGAATTTTCTCTAAGGGTGTGATCCATGGTAGGCTAACCAGGCTCCAGCAGATGGACCCATTCCCTTGAGTATACAGACAGCACAAATTATATTCACTGGATTATTTTTTAAAAGGGAGATGCAAAATAGGGGGAGGGAGGGGTGTGTACTGAATTACAGGCAAAAAATGGGGATGAATATGATCAAAACATATGGCATGCATCTATGAAATTTTCAAAAAGATAACAAAAAACGCATTTGTCAGTGTGCCTGTGGCTCGATGCACCCCTCCCTCATCTGAGAAGCTTCTATTTGCAGTCGACAGAGATTAACACGGAGACCCATAAATGATCAAGGTATAGAGAATACCAGACTACAGAATGCTCAGCCTTAAAGCGAACATACCTACCATACATCTCCTCCTCCCAAGACTCAGACATCATTTAGGAAGAGGGGATGGGAAATCATAAAAGCCAGAGGCAGCAGATGGATTCAGGGACCACAGTGTACCCTGAACACAGCAGGGCAGCTGCTATGAACTCACAGCACCTGTGACAGCACGCACAAGACCCGTGCAAGCCCAACCAGACAAAATACCGGAAATGAATGGAAGTTTAGGCACATACTTCTTGCTGTAGCCTTGGAGCTAATGGTAATTGCCAGCTACTGGAAGAGGGAGAGTCAGTTTTAGTTAAGAGTGTAGCCCCAGTGGATGAAATCCACAGAAACAGCTGACCTGAGCAAGGGGGAGATCTTGGACCCCAGACTGATACCTGAGGGGCCTACATGGGACTGATCCAGACCCCCTAAATTTGGGTGTCAGTGAGGAGGCCTTGGCAATCTATGGGGCCTTGGTATTTATCCCTGTCATCCAAATGGACTTTGGGAGCCCATTCCACATGGAGGGATGCTCTCTCAGCCTGGACACATGGGGGAGGGCCTAGGCCCTGCCCCTGATGATATGACAGACTTTGGAGATACCCTATGAAGGGCCTCGCCCTCCCTGGAGAGTGAAGTGGGGATTGGGTGGGGGTTGAGGGAGGCTGGTGGGGGCAGGAGAGGAGGGGAGGGAGACAGAGCTGGGATTGACATGTGAAGCAAGCTTGTTTCTAATTTAAATTTAAAAAAAAGAGTGTAGTCCCGGGTATGGGGGTGTAGTGGGGCAAACTTTTATCTCAGCATTTGTGAGGCAGGTGAAGCTTTATGAGTGAGATCCAGCCTGGTCTACATAGTGGGTTCAGGACAGTCAGAGCTACATAGTAAGACACTGCCTCTAAAATAACCAATGATAATAATAATACAATTAAATTCAAAGGTGTAGCCCCTGTTAAATCAACCTTGCTCCAGTGCTAGACTGCACACAAGAATATTTGGGAAGCACTAATTGGTCTTAAATTGCTTTTTTTTTTAATGGACACAAAGGAGCCAGGCGGTTGTGACACACACCTTTAATCCCAGCACTTGGGAGGCAGAAACAAGTGGAGCTCTGTGTGTTCAAACCCAGCCCTGTCTACAAAGAAGAGTTCCAGCACAGTCCGGACTGTTACACAGAGAAGCCTTGTCTCAAGAAAACCAAAATAATTAAATAAGATAAAAAATGAAAATGGACACAAAGTTGAGTGTGTCTGGAAGAAGGCAGACCTTGGAAGAGTTGGGAGAGTCATTTAGGAAACCCTCAAAGAACTAATAAAAGCTCTTTAAAAAGAAAATAGTCTCTGAACAAAGGTATTCACACGTAGCATCTGTGATGCTAAAACATAAAAGGAGGGCTTGCATTTACGGAACACTGTGGTAGTGTGCTTACCTAACATGCATTCAGCCTTAGCTCAACCTCCAACACTGGGAAAAAGAAATGTCCCCAAGTCATCATCCCCGTCCAAACGGGCTCTTCCTAGCTCATTTTAAGGCTGAATTTGCCCACTTGCCCCATCCCTGTTTCTAGCAATAAGTCTCCAGGGAGGAGATGGTGTGGAGGGACTCTGCCCACAAGGTCTCCAGAATCTGCTTGTCTGCCTTCAGGCCTGAGTGGGGAATAGAACCCCCTCCCCCAGATCACCTGCCCCATCCCTCCATTTCTCCTAGGACTCACCGACGGCCAGCACGGTGGCAAGACAAAGTGACATGATTCAGGCTCCAGCGGCCGGAGCAGGTCTGGACCTGAAGCCCTGCAGCCGACACAATAGGCAGGATGTGTGGACTGAGGCTGGTCACACGGTTTCTGTATCAGCTTCCTCACATGAAGAGGAAGAGGTTTCTCCCCCTGGCTTTCTACTCTTTCCCCTAGTCACCAACTCTTTGAGAAGGGATAAGATTCTGAGAATCACATCAGACCTCTGAGTTCAGGTACAAGCAAGCTGTTACTCAGCATGTTTGTCTTGCTGTGAGTACGTGAGACACAGAGGTATAAGACTTCACACGTCAGTCCTTATTGTAGGAACAAATGGCCATCCATCCTTGGGCAAGGCATTTCAACACCCAAAACTCACATTTCATAATGTTTAAAATGAGAATCATAAAGTCTCCCCTAAATGTTTGATGTTATGATCTTTGCAAGAGCCAAAGCATATATTTTACATATTAAGTGTGTCCTGCTATGGCAATGACTTTTGCTATTACATAATACTGATGTGTGTGCCTGTGTGTGTGTCCCAGTGTGAGTAGCAGTCAGAGGACAACTTGCTGAAGTTGGTTCTTTTCCTCTACCATGTAGGCCCTAGGGATTGAACTCAGGTCTTTAGGCTTCACAGCAAACACCTTTGCCCACTGAGCCATCTCACTGACGCATACGACATTTTTAAGATTTATTTTTATTGTATGTACACTGGTGTCTCACTTGTCTGTGTGAGGATGCCGGAGCCACTGGAACTGGAGTTGCAGGCACTTGTTAACTGCCAGACGGATGTTAGGAATTGAACCTGGAACCTCTAGAAGTGCTCTTAACCACTGAGCCATCTCTCCAGCCACAGATGATACTTTTAAAAGATAACATATGCTGTTGGGAGTGGAGAAATTGCATCTTTTTTCATACTGTTAACAGGAACCCAGGGTCCCAGCTGTTAGGAGAAAAAGCTGCCTCTGAATGGGTTAGTCAGAATCATTTTGGGGGGAACCTGCGGGCCTCCTTCCATTCCGCTAGTGGAAAAAATATATAAATCAGAGGGAAGAGAGCTCTTCCTCTTTGGAAATAGCATGGAGATTTCACAAAATAAGAAATTAAAAATAGAACCCATGTAACAGGATGAAATATGTATGGAAATGAGATGTCAGCACTCACGTAACCATTGCAACACCATTCACAAGAGCTATGATGGAGAAATAATTCCAAAGAAGTATGAAAAAACATGGTGTGTATGCACAGTGGAATGGAGAAGATAATGGTGATGTCAAATGAAAAATTCACAAGGCTGGACCTTCAAAAAGATGGCTTGACCTAGTGAAACAAACAACCCCAGACGGGGCGGGCTCCGCACTGTTTCCTCATAAGTGGTGTGGTAAGTGGAAAAATTCAAGCTGGACTTGCTGAGTCATGCCTGCAATCCCTGAACTTGGGAAGATGAGGCAGGAGGATCACCATGAGCACAAGGCCAGTTTACACTACACAGTGGGTTCTAAGCCAGTCTGAACTATACAGCAATACCTATCTCAAAAAGGGTAAAACGGATAGGAAGTCAAAGTCATAAAAGAAAAGTTTGTGATGTTGTCTATCAGAAAGAAAAATGGAGCAGTTATTTATCAATAGACGATATTTTTAGTCAATCAATAAGAACAACTCTAAGACAACATAATGCCTGTAGTCAATGATATTGCGCTGCACAGTTAAAATGTTAAGAGAACAGGTTTCACCCTTTTCTCTTTCTCAGCTAGGTTTTCTATTGATGTGGGAAAACACCATGAGCAAAAGTAACTTGGGCAGAACGGAGTTTGTTTCCTCTTAGACTTCCAGGTTAACACTGTCGCTGAGGGAAATCAGGGCAGGAACTGACGCAGAGGCTGGGGAGGAATGCCTCTTACTGCCTTGTTCAGTCTTCTTTCTTATACACCCCAGGACCCTCATACCAGGGGATGTACCTCCCACAGTGGACGAGGCCCACCCATATCCGTCAATAATCAAGAAGATGACTCAGAGCTTTACCCACAGGCCAATCTGATGGGGGCTTTCCCTTTTTTTCTGATGCAAAAGCAAAGAGTCTTTTATTGAAGTTCTTTAACAAGCTAAACCCATTAGCTCGGGCCCTTCATCCCTCCACCATGGTGCACGGCTGGAGAAAGACCCCCAGCAACCTCGAGGCAGGGATCTTAAAGGGCAGCGTAAGGGGAGTGTCTAGGGGTATGAACAGTCTCAGGATTGGTGGGCTTCCAGGTTTGGGCGACCTGCCCTGTGTTGATTGGTCAACTGGTTGTTATGGCCCATAGGCCCTCCCAGGGTAGTTGTGGGTGCTTTTGCTTAATTGAGGTTTTCTCTTCTCAAATTACTGTGGCTCCTGTCAAGCTGACAAAACACTAACCAGCTCCTTCTCCCTGTCCCTCTCCCTGTCCCTCTCCCTCTCCCTCTCCCTCTCCCTGTCCCTCTCCCTCTCCCCCTCCCCCTTCCCCTCCCTCTCCCCCTCCCCCTGCCTCTCCCCCTCCCCCTCCCATTCCTCCTTCCATTCCTCCTCCCCCTCACCTTCCCCCCCTCTCTGTTTCCTTCTTCCTCTCCCTGTCCCGTCCTCCTCCCTACCTCTCTCGCCAGTCCTCTCTCCTTCCCTCTCTGTATTCCTGCAGTGCCATTGAAACTACGGTGGGTCAGAGTGACATGAACAAAATCCTAAAGGAACTGAATAGACAAGAGACCGACCCAGGGTGTGAGGACGAATGGATACCCTTATGTCAAAACCAGAAAAGGCAGCGCTTTGCGTGCCATGAGCAGAGGGAGAGGAGAGGCATCCTCTCGTGGCATCTCTAAGGTCTTCTGAGTCTGAAGACAGGCACGGTGACGCCTCAGGATCTTGCCTCCAGCAGACACTAGTGACGGCTGACTAAACAGTGTGTGCTCAATGCCCCCTCCTAATAAAGACCTACCTCTGTGTAAGCAGCTCCGTTCTGAGCCTCTGAACATGGACAAGGAGGAAGCAAAATCTGACCGAAGACAATTTCAGCAGTCCAACCTGTAGCCCTCAAAGGTCTTGACCTTGCAATGGTCCTTCCTAACCAACCACCCAAAGGAGCTGGGATGGCAAGGCTGGTGCTGCCAGGCCCAGGTTTTTCAAATCAGCTCAGATGACCAAATACGACCAAATGGTACTCAACGTGAAATACATTTTAGCGGGAATTAACCAGAAAAAGCGGGGGGGTCGTAAGGAGACCTTTGCCCTCGTTTGCTTATATCAACTACATCATCAGGATGTAACACCTGTAAGTCACACATACAGTCATTGTGGAACAGAGTGAGCTAACACTAACCAAAATACTCACCAGACATAAGAGTCAGAGTCCTGTAGAAAGCTGTTGAGTTGCTAAATTAAACTTGAAATTTTCCATCCTCCTCCTCCCTCCTTCCCTGCCTCACCCCTTCCCCTTTCCATCCCTTCTCTCGTTAGCAGTAAGAAACACACATAGGGTACCCCAAGTGCCAGGCAAGCACTCTGCTGTCCAGTCGTAGCTCCAAACTCTCTGAACTTTCTTCTTTTAATGTATTTTTCATTTTGTTTTATGTGTGTGAGTATTTTGGCGGCATGTATAAAAATTTAAAATTGCATTATAAACCAACTCCTAACGGCATAGATTACCAGATATCTCAAGCCTCATCAGAGAAATTTTTAGAGCTTACAGAATAGAACTAAATATGTTATATTATATATATATTTGTATTTTTATACATGCATATATTCCTTTTTTAAATTTCTCCTTTTCCTCCTTTTTCTCCTTCTTTTTAAGACATGGTGTCATATAGCTAGGCACACTTTTAATTCACTATATAGTCAAGGATGACCTTGAATTCCAGATGTACTTGACTTTACCTCCCAAGTTATGAAATGTCTGACATGTTCCACCAAGCTGTATCGGGTTTATTTGTTTGTTTGTTTGTTTACACCCACTGAATCAAATTAGTGATACCAAAATATTCTTGGATGAAGAGACATCCATTGAAGCATGGTCAACCTACCATGGGTCACACCCTTAAAGTAAACCAACTCTCCCTCTTATGGAAGCCACCAACTGCCAATCAAACCTGTGCTACAAGAGGAACCTAGAAAGTCTTTACCACATCTATACTGGACTTTTAACTGGCTTGATCTTGTGAAGTCACCATGATTCATGACATAATAGCCATGTCATGTTCAGCATCTCACAGCACCCCTACCGTCTTCTGGCTGTTACACTCTGTTTACCCCTCTTCCATGATGGTTCCTGAGCCTTGGAGCAGAGGGAAAGTTGATACTGGTGTCCCAACTACAGCTGAGCACTCTACGCTGGTTATTCTCGGTACTTTTCACAGTTACAAGTGTCGACACATTAGCCACTACATGCCTTAATGAGAGGCTGCTTTGACCAAGTTTGAAATCAGCACAAATATAAGGCCATAAACACAAATATTTAGAGGTGCTTTGAAAACATGGTCATTTAGCGAAACAACAGTAGATTTCTCCCCTGTGTCCTCTTACCTCCTTAGCCACAAATTAGGGCTACAGTTACAGTTAGCTTCTAGCCATAGGTTTACAATACCTGCCGTGTGTGGTGTGGTGTGTGTGTGTGTGTGTGTGTGTGTGTGTGTGTGTGTGTGTGTGTGTGTGTTTATGTAGCGTTGGTCGCATCCATGAAGGCAGAACTTGGAATTGCATGCTCTTGTCTTGGTGAGAGCTTAGCCATTGTTGTATGTGTTCTTAAGCGTCTTTATCTCATTCCCCAAAATTATCCAACTGCCAACAGAATACAGTGTGTGGTTTGTCTGGTTGCCCCACAGCTTCACAAGCTCTTGGAGCTTTTCTGTTTTTATCTTAGCTAAATCACTTTTTGGAATGGCTCCTTCTTGTGGTTTTACTTTGCAAGCCTGTGACTAACACAATTGAGACAACTTTCATACGATATTTTCCATTTGGATATGCTTTGCATTTTTGAGAAATCTTTCTTGTTTCCTCTTTTTTTTTCCTAAATGAGTTTTTAGTTAGATAGGAAGAAATCTCTCTCCTTGTCAAGCGTATGAGTTCTGTGTCAAATCCATGCATTAGAGATGCCAACTCCCATCTGACAGTTTTTGCTCTTA